CGGTCGTGGGCAGTCCTGACGCGGCCGCAGGCAAAAGAAGCGCTTCGAGGTCCGGCGAATGGGCACAATCCGATGCGCAGCACACGAGTTGTGCCACAGAAGGGTGCATTTCTTACTAATTATGCAGCAGGCGTACAGTACATACCGCAACTGCAAGTAAATTGGGAACTGCTTCTGCTCTTTGCCTGGCAACGACTGCCACTGAATGACAAAAACAGCCTACACCCCACTAGAAGCTTTCAATTATTCGATTTAGGGTCTCTTGGGTGACCATAACATCGTCATCACTATCTCGAAGCCCGAGTTATCACCTGCTACCGTGGTTGGATGTGTGTCCCATTTGATGTGTGCGGTCTGTCACATCACCGAACTGAAGCAAGGTAATAGATAATCTTCATTTCCCGCACCACATGAACTGAAATCAGTCGGGAGACTATCACACGTACACTGGCGGCATGTTATCACAGTACCAACGACTTCAGATCCATTGCGTGTGTTTTCCATTGCGCTATGGGCGCTATGGCCAGCGTTCGCATGCCAGACGAAGAGCATCGTGCCAAAGGGAAAAAAAAACCTTTTCATCGGATCCTTCAATTTCCTACCCGGCTCACCCCTGATCTGATTTCCATCAGTCTCTCTTTGAAACCTGTCAACCCGACAACCTGTTCCACTGACTGGACTGTGGTACTGTACAGGCAGATACGCTCGAACTCAGACTTCCAAGCTTCCAGTTTCACGACAAACGCACTGACCGCGATGATCATTCGGTCCAATCTACCAATCATCAATCTGGCCTTCCAAAGCTTACACGGCTCGTAGATGTCCTTGAATAAACGCACAAGCACTTCTTTCTCGCTGGGCTTCTCTTTGGCGTATCTAGGATGAAATCCTTTGATTACCCACGCAGTGTGACCGTGGATATCAATCGGGGTCGCCCGTGCATTTTTCGCGTCCCGGACACTCGAACACAGCTGCCGTGCTAGTTGATTCATCGCCGGTTCCCAAACTTGTCGTCTCGTACCGTGGGCCCCATCGCCTTCCTCTTTCCAGGCTCCGCATCGTGTTGCACACTGGCAGCAAATGATAAGCTTAGGTTGCAGGATCGCCAAGATATCCTCGGTCAGCTTATAGGCAGCTTCGACGGCCTCCCTTCGCCGGTCTCCATCCATCGCCTGCAAGTCTTCGTCACTGAAAAGACTACACACATCCAGGATAGGTACCAGCGTCAGCGGAAGAGCAGAACATTTGAGTAGATCAGATATGTAGTCGATCGTATCGCACTGTATCATCTCTTCGTAGCTTTTCGAATGTGCATTGCTTGGGTTCTGCAGTAATATGAGAGGTATGTGTCGACTGCCACAGAGGAGACGGGCGAAGTTGTGCCACTGGTTAGGCTTTATTGCCCACTGATCCCGAAATCGTCGAGCTGGCGCGAAACAATCGTCGTTTTCCGTGATAAGTTGGAATTCAGAAGCGGCGCCTAGACTTGGCTCCAGCACGTCGTTCACAGCTCGCCCACGTTCACTAACACTAGATTGTAGTGACAGCCGAGAAAACGAGTCAGCTAAGACGCCGGAACGGTTGGCTTCGTAGAAAATATTGTGTCAGCAATCGTCCGTACACCCGGTGGCAACAAATGAACATAGTAGTTCACTACCACGTGCCCTGGTGTAAATTCGAAGGGTAAACAACAGTGCTTACGGTCAATGTATGTTGAAGACATCGTTGGTAGAAAGCAAACAGCAGTTGGAAGGATTACGGAGGAGTCGAGGCCCATAGACAGATAGAGGCTCGGGGAGAAGAAGATATTTGTCTCCGGATCTATGCCAACATCTTTGCTGCCGGGCGGGGTTTCTCTGCGTTACCATGCTCAGCCCGGCTACTCAGAGATAGTCCTCGACGAGTCGCAGAGCTTATCGTCGACAAGGTTTCCGGATACATCGCTCGAGTTAGAGACGGAGGCACATTCACAATTAGGGTTAGAGCTCACGTCTCCGAATAACTTAGATGCCAGACGGAATGGCGACTACTGGAACGCATGTCTTACAGAGATGTTTCATCTATAATGTGGCTGATGTGAACATGCATTCTACAAATTTGACAACGTCATCCCGACCCTGTAAGCACCCGTTTCTCCAGCTGCGTCTCATTTCGGAGAGACCAAGAGAAAGTATGCTGCCGTTAAGACCTGCGGAAACTCGGGCGAAAGAACATCGGGCCGCTTGCGGTTGACACACCGATGATAATCTAGCATAAATAATAGTCAGAAGAAATCTTTTCAATCGAGCCTCTGCTGGTCGCAAGCATCGTCGACCGCTTCCACTCCTGATCTCGCATCCGTCCCAGCCCAAATCGCGATGGCGTTAGCTAGCCCACCACGAGGAGAACTATTCAGATCCCTCGAAAGGTGATAGGCGTTTTCTTTATTGACATTTAAATCTGATGCTAATCCTTCATCAGCCTCTATAAGACCGGCATCTACTCGGATCTGAAAATATCCAGTCTCACCAGAAGCTATCTTGTACACCGCGCCATCGTTTGTCCACGGTCCGGTTTCTTAGCAGCGGCATGTCGTAGTCCCCTTAAAGTACTGATGCCTTGGCTGATATACGAACTCTCTCATGTTTATTGGTGTTAACATGGCTGGCAATACAGGAAGCTGCCGATGGCGCAATATCCCTTCCCGACGACGAACCTCTTGTTATCGACATGATGATCCAGTACTTCTACCTCCTCGACTATCAGCAATCGCTTTATTCCGACAGCACCTCACAGTCGCCAGAGCTAGAGGACACGAACTCCACGCACATCTCTTGTCTACTACTGCATGCCAAGGTGTATGCAGCCGCAGAAAAGTACGCTATTGGAGGTCTCAAGGACCTCGCTGTGGCTAAGTTCAAGACGACTGCTGTACAAGACTGGGACCCCGCTGCTTTTCTCGACGCTGCCAGCGAGGCGTACACAGCCACCATAGACACCGATCGCGGGCTACGAGACGCTGTCATCGAGGTGTTCGCCGCGCACAAGGACTTGCTGTATGAGGATGAAGCGAAGGTGGTTGTCGAGAGGCTTGGCCCACTGGGTTATGATTTGCTTGTGTATCTACATCAGAGAGGAAATCCGCCTTTATACAAGTCATACAGGCCATTAAAAAAGTGGTGATGGGTCTCCTCATAGCTGGGGCAGCGGACAACACCACTTTTGCCCGACGCAGTGGAGATGTGAAATTGGGCTGGTGTGTCATTATTCCGCCGAAGCCCGTTCCTGGCCTGATGTATTTCTTCCTTAACTCGGAGGATAGAATGGCCTTCTTCTATTTGTCCCTCCTATCCCAGGGGCATAACCGGAGCACGGTTCGGTCTCGTCGGCGATGGACGTGGTCGGCTGGGTCTGCTTCACGTTTCCATTGTCACTAACCACTATCCCAGCCCAGGGCCTTTCTTTTGTGCTGCTCATACAAGCTGCGGCCGAACACACAAACACTCAGAGTGCAACCTGTGGTGCATATGCATCGCAGCTGCCATCGATGGCCATCGATGATTGCGACGATGTCGAGGTCGTTCGGGTTGGGTGCGGCGTTATCCATCTTCACGTATGATGGCTGCTGTGTTATGTAACTCTGGTTATGTCTCTGTTGGGTCAATGGGGAGTTATATAACAGCTCGGTGGAGCCCGATGTAAAGTAGGCGCGGCGATCCAATACCGCCGGGACCGCTGCTTTCAAGCTAACCATGGCGGCCTGAAGCAACCATCTGAATAAGGAGAGATAGGACATAGAACTAGCAGAGGACAATATGTGACAACTCATGAACCATGCATCGGTATGGAAATAGGGTGCGATGTCCTTGGACATCCGTTCATCAGTCTCCGGTGAAGTCATGGCTGGCGACTCAGGGGTTCGGAGACCTACGACGGCTGGCACGCCGGACGTCTTCTTGCCAATGGCATCCGAGTCTTGTCAGAATAGAACGCCTGTCGTTGAGAGACACGTGTCGACGTCTACATGAGCAGACGCGGCCTCCAGATCTCCCGCATCGCGCCTCCTTGTGCTAATGACTCCGTCTAATACTTAGCGGATGACTAGGTTGTTGAAGCAGCATTCGTGGCACGATCGGTAAGTATAGGGCCAGGGCCGTTCGGCAAATTACATTTGAGTGATCAGACTGGACTGCCCTGCAAGCGGTACATGCCATACATACTACATACCGATGGCGTGCGAGGCGGGCAATTTCAGGGTCGCTCAGTAGACGGTGGCACAGTAATCCAAGACCAAAGGCGTTTGTTGGCGCATGATTATGCCGGAGGCTGGCCACCATGTCAGTCGAGCGCCCGCCATTCCACAGATGAACTGGTGTAAGCGTTTTTGTGTAACGGGAGAGGGGCGGGGTACGCCCAGAGACATTCGCTGCTGGGGACTTCCCAGCACTCCGCGGCGCTGCACTACATGTGCGCCGCCGGAGGGGGTCGCCGCCAACTGCGTACTGGCATTGCTTCCAGCTGTTGCCAGCACCTAGCCTAGCAGCCGTTTACTGGCGTGGCGCGCCCTCAGTGAGTATGGCCTCCATGGTTTGCGAGGGGGGTGGATGCAAATGCCGTTTGGGGGTTACCTGCGAGGTTCAGCGGCGTGCCCCAACAAAGGTCGAGGGGCCACGGGGCTGTCATGCCTGCGCCGGTGTGGGCTTCACAACCCCAGTGACATGCGCGAACCGAAATGGGCGCGTCAGAGTGCCTGGCCATTAGGCAGTTCTTAACAGCGCCCGCGGTGCAATACTTCTAGCCCAAGATGGCAGGACCAAGTACTGAAGTGGAGTACACTCAAAGCGCCAAGCAAGGGACGAGGAGCACTCGCTTGCCTGTGCCTCCAGCGCATCAGCCACCCTTTCCGCCCAGAGTCCGCTTGCAAGACGCTGCGGGACCCAAGGTAGGTTGGCGCCTGTCGCGGGGAAAGTCGGTTCGTCTCCTGCTCCAGGTTGTGTGACAGGCTCTCCCCAGCGACTTGCGCTGGTCCGCTTGCACCTCGTCCCGCGGCCCGGCCCGATCGCTCCCCGATACAACATCATTTTGGCTTAGATGTGCCTACGATCTATTGGGGCTCATGCAAACCCAGCTGCTCCACATCCCTCTCCGCCTGGAACAATGCAGCCATGATCCCCTGGCGAGAATTCAATAAATTAGCAGCCCCAAGAAAATTTTGAAAGGGAAGCGGTATAGATAAAACTTGCGGTAAGCTCTAACTCTGTTGAGGAGCGCAAGTGTCAGCTGCTGGAGGCCGACTATGTTTTAGCTCGAGGCTTTTGTCTCGCCATCATGCTGTTGGGGCGATTAAAACTCGTCCCGCTCCCTGATAGTACTATGAACATCCGCATCACATCCAGCACTCGCATAGACAACTGTAACCCATGTGCCTGATTCCCAGCCCGCCAATTGCACCATCTTCGCCATGCCTTTCAAATGCGTTGGCTGCACAAAGAGGTTCGACTCGCAAACAAAATGCAAACACCACATGAACGACACAGGCCATGCGATCCCGCAGTTTGAGTGCATTTCTTGCCGCCGCGTTTGCTTATCGCGAGAGGCACTACACCAACATCAAAGAGATACCGGTCACCTGAAGGTCGACAAAACGCCCCAAATAGGCGCCGCTGACATTGTTTCTGTCCAGAAAACTGCCGTGGCCGAAAGGTCCGGGACAATGGCCACCGTGAAGCCGGAAAAGCCGCACACTGGACCAGAAACATGCAACCCTGTTGACCTCAATGGTAACATCGCAACGCTCCACATGGAGTTTCTCGGTCACGCACCCAGTCAAGAGCAGAACGAGATCGACTCGAGCCCTCTGCTCCTTGTACCGACGCTTCAACGGTCGCCATCTCTACAATTTGGCCTTCTGGGCGGGATACTTTCGGAGGATGGCCGTCCGTCAAAGGAGTCACGCATCTTCTACAATGTTAGCTGTCCATCCAGCATCTTCATCTGCGGTAGCCAAGGATCAGGAAAGAGCAATACCCTGGCGTGTCTTCTGGAAAATTGCCTGATACCTAGCCAACTGGGAAAGTTGTCTCATCCACTTGCCGGTATCGTCTTTCACTACGACACTTTTGCGTCTGACGACGGCGGTCTACCGTGCGAGGCGGCTTTCCTCGCCTCCCATGCCAAAGCATCCGTTCGCGTTCTCTGCGCGCCGACGAGCTTCCGCACTGTAAAAGTAATGATGGTGTCTCTTCGCGTAACCGGGTCTGATGGTCGGCGGCTAACAAAGGTTATTGGGTCTAGAAGGTCTACAGCGATATTCCTCAAGTCGACGTCAAACCCCTCAAGATCAGCAGTTCCGATCTCAATACCAGCAGAATGCTGGGCCTCATGGCGTTCCAGGAAGGTAGTAAGCCGCTCTATCTCCAGGTCGTGCAGCGTATACTTCGAGACATCAGACTGGAGCAGCAGGAGAAGGACTCTCAATTTGACTACGCCAAGTTCAAAAGAGCCCTCGCGCAAGAAAAGTTCTTAGAGGGGCAGCAAGGTCCTCTGCAACAGCGTCTCGAGACGCTCGAAAGTTTCATGGTCAAGGGAAAGGCCCGATCCGACGAGGAGGTCTCTTGGGTGTCAAAGGCATGGTTGTATCGTCTGAGTGCTGTCTTTGCAATGGCTGACCTATCGTCAAGGCCGGACAGCTTACCATTGTCGATCTCTCGTGCCCCTGCATCACACCGGAAATGGCATGCCTGCTCTTCAACATCTGTCTTTCTCTCTTCTTGGAGCAGAAGTCGGTTGTTGGTCGCGTCGTGGCGCTAGACGAGGCACACAAGTATCTCGGGCAGTCAGGAGAAAGCCAGGTGCTTACAAATTCGCTTTTGCAGACGGTTCGCCTGCAACGACACCTCGGCGTTCGGATGTTCATATCAACGCAAGAACCTACAATATCGCCGAAGCTTTTGGACTTGTGCACCATGACGATCGTCCACCGTTTTACGTCGCCCGATTGGCTGCGGACCCTACGCCGTCATCTCGCGAACACAGACGATGTCCTGATAGAGGGGGCAAATACAGCTACACCTGGGCAGACAAGTGTTGTAATGGGTCTGTTCCAGAGGATCATGGCTTTACGTACAGGACAGGGTCTCGTATTTGCACCCAGTGCGCTGATCCGGAGCTCGCAAGATAGGGGATATGACGGTCTTTGCCGGAATGCGAATGAGCCGACTGCCATCCAGATACGTTCTCGGCTCACAAGAGACGGGGGCAGGACGGTGATGGTTGGGCAGACCGCCTAGAGTTGGCTTGCATAGTTGGGTATTACTCTGGTCCGCCGCGGTATCCGTTACGAAAATGAAGAATGCTGGGCAAAATCGACTCAATTAATATGGCTAGACCGGTAACACACTCAGCATACTGCGGGGGCGAGTCTTGATGACGCGGGACGGTGTCGAAGTCAACAGTCGCAGCATCTGACTCGGACATTGCAGGCGAATTAGATCTGTTGTGTTGCCCGTTTGCTGGAGGCCTATCATAATCACCGGTGTCGACCAACTTGCCACCCTTGCCACGGTACAGCCTCTGCAGCTGTACTGCACGTCCATGAGAATAAAGCTCTTTGTCTGTCAACGCCGAGAATTGCGTGATGGCATTGACGCATATATTGAGCAGCACCTTGTGCAATGCATTGGCTGGAAGGTGCAGGGCGAACGATGAGGAAGCCGCAAGCGAGGCAATCAGATTGTAGGTACGTCGAGCCGGGCTGCCGAGAGCCTTGTGGTCAGGGAAGTCTTTCGGTACGATAAGCTGCGCGCGGATGCCGCTGCGTAGCTGAAACCAAAGGCGGATGAGATCACCCTTGCCGCCGAGTTGTCGTCGCACATTGTCCAAGTGTGATGGGGCTCCTTCAGTTGATTGATAAAACTTGAAGCGCAGCGAATCGAGAAGGTCAGGTGTAATTTGCAGGTAGATTGCAGTGTCGATGAGGTCGCCGTCAGTGATAGTGTCGCTAAGGCGGAGACAGAAGGATCTTTCCGCGAGATACGCAACACTGAATTTGAATGCCTGATCGATCAATTCATGCTTTCGTCCGCCTTGATCCTCAAGCGCGGCATAGGCACTGGTCGGTTTCGGTATTCGCGGAACCATACTGGATGGCATGTCGTGTGTGCTGGAAGTCAATTTCCTACGTGTCCACGCGTGGGGACTTGCGGACTGAAAACAGGTCGGTGGACACTTACCGTAGCATGTCGCTTTGCTTTTTGGCCGTTTGGCTCAATCATTCACGGGTCGCTGCGGACAAGATGGGTCTCGGCGTGATCCCGATCCAACTCGAGGTGCATTGGGGGACTCTTTTGCAAGCAGTAGACTGACCAGGGCGACGGGCGACAGATCCAAGTCAGACGCTATGCGAAGGTCATAACTTGGATGGGTTCCGACGGGATCCCAGTCCTACTCGCGCGAGAAGTCAGGCAAGCAGTCAAGAGCGGTCGAATGGCCGGGACGCCGAAGACAGGCCAGTCAGCCGGTGCAAGCGTGAGCGGGAGATACGGGGCGGGCAGAAGTTGATGCGAAAGGCTAGCGTAAGTGGGGACTGGCGAGAGGACGCGTGTGAGTGACGGGGAGACCGGTAATAAGGGGGCTGGCGGGTGGGGATTCTCGGAGATCGGCAATGATATTGTTCCGCATATGGAACCGACACTGCCGCCCGCCCCATGAGTGGGGACGTAGCCGGGAGGGATTGTTACAACACACATCCCGCCCGAAGGTCAGGGTAACTACAATGGCAGTTAGCGACGTTTCATGGCCACCGACGCATGGCCTATCGTGAGACCTGGCCTTAGCAGTGCGGCGGTAAACAACGTAGAAGGCGCGTGCCACAGCACGGACGACGTAGCACCAAGCCCTCTCACGCCGGAGTTGACGCCGGAGTTGACGCACCACTTCCAAGTTCTACCCGACATGGTCCGTCACAGGGCGTTATTATGCACAGGAGGACTGCGAACGTTGCCAGTGAACAAATGGAAGAAAATGGAAGACTGTCAACTGCGCTCCAAAGTATTTGCCGTCGACTTACGTGCACCTCATAAAGGGAGACAGAGTGGGCAAGTGATTGCGCAGGCTGAGTGCTGGTCAGTATGGCGCCGTCGCATGAGCTCTGTACTGGTCGCTTGGCTGACATACGCGTGGGCAACCCACGGGGCAGCAGAGGTGGTCGCGTGGGCGTCGCGTAAGCGTTGGCCTGATGGCAAATGGAAGTTCTTTCTTGCCATACAGCCCTCATTCCCTCCTACACGTGGCAGACCTGATGGCTGCTTCTCTGAGCGGGGCTGTATGTCTGTCCGGCCGGGACATGCTCCACACATCGCTACCACCATAAGCAGCCGACAACGTGCCGGGGAATGTCTGCTTTTGACGAGAGCGCGGGCATTGGGGTGCCCTTCCTCAAGAGACAAGCCTGCGATCACACCGACGGCAAAGTACAGTAAACCGCCCGGTGGTTGCAGGGGCGCGAGCAACGGCTGCCGCACGCCATCCAGTGAGAACCGGCCATTTGGCGCCGCCAAGCCTGCTGTGTCCACTGTGAGCGTTCAGGGATTGCAACAGGACTGGATCTTTTGGTGGAAACACGATCAAGGTCTGGGACAAGGGTTCAGTGCTGCCGCCCACCGAGACTGAAGTGTGAGACGGACGTATGTGTCTTTCTGTCCGGCGACTATGCTGATCGGCTTTGCCTGCGCCACGCTTGCGATAGCAGTCATTCCACCGGTCGATAGGCGCTAGCTCGGGGGTGGTATTCCTAGCGGTCTGCTCCATCACTGCGACATACCGTGTGGAGGGCTGGATCCACAACAGTGCGAGGAAACACCTGGGCGCCACGAGATGTGGCAAATACCCAGTCACGTCCTCTCGGGACTGCTTCTTATGTGTGCGCTACATAGCATGCGGCCATCTAAACGGCTGTGTTCGTGGAGCTACAGGCAGCCCAGGCGCCAGGCTGCCCTAAGGTGGGCGAAACGGAGGAGGCCCGGCGGTTCCACGGCCTGCCGCTACTCGAATGCGGGTTCGTGTCAGGGGCCTTCGAAGGCTTTCCTTGTTCCGAACGAGGTCCTGCCCTGCATACGTACCATATGGAATAGCATCGCATTTCTCGGCGATCCCAGTGAACGTGCGCTCTCCCGGTCCAATCTTTCTCGCGCGCGCCACGTGCTCAGTCGGAGGACCCACCGGCCCAGAGTTTACTGCCGTTACTAGGCACAAGCACGAGCAAGCCCTCGAGTTGAAAGGCTCGTTAGCAACGCGACCGACGATGCGCGCGGCTAGACGTTGTGTGTGTCGGGCGCCGCCATTGAGAAGTCGATCAGCTTCTTCACGATCATGGCATTGACGCAGAAGATTGCAAGGGTGATGCCAAATCGGCGTTTTCGGTCCTGTTCCATTGCGCAGCCTCGTCGCACGTCGAGCTCCTCTGCGAGCTCATCGTTATGTACCATCGTCCGAACACCAGCCTGTCTCCTGGCGGATCCGACGAGAGGTGGGGAGATTGGCTGGCAAGGCCTACTGAGTACAGGGCTTATGGCGGGTAGAGCCATGGAAGCCCTGCTAGCGCGCGAACAAGTGGGGGCTAGTGCTTGCGCTTTCGCATCCTGGCGTGGCCTGCGCTCTAGGGCGGAAGACGGCCAGGCGGGGGAAGCCGTAACACATTCCCCGGCGAGGCATAGCCCGTAGCGTGGCCAAAGGCTGTTGGTTGGAGGAATCAGGGGGTCCGCTACAGGCCCCCGCGATTCGCGCCTTGGCCAACGGTTCACCCCGAGGCGAGCTTCCTTCCATGTATGTTGTGCCCGTTCAACCCAGCTGGGTTTTCTCCACTATTGAGCTCGCAGCAGTGTCACCAAATCCGCAAGAAAACTGTGAGCCTGTGCAGGTCACGAAGTCTGTAACCCTGGCTGCGCCGGATGTCATAGTCACGACCGACATCGAATTCGCATTTGGGTCATCATTTCATCGAAGCTGCTTTTGCATCTTCAGATGAGCGACGTAATAAGAACTAGGGAGGAGAAAGGGAGAAAAAAAGTAAAAAATTGTGAATGATCACATGTGTAATTAAGAAGCAACAATCTGCGCCTGGAACGAACAAACCAGCCACTGGAGCCACTGGAGACTCATTACTTGCCTCTATCGAGCGGCAGCGTCGACTTGGAACGAGAAATGCACACTAATGTTTGCCAATGTATCTTGGCATCAGGAATAGTAAAAAACGGCCTCGTTCCACAAAGGATATCAAGACTTGGTACCAGAACTGGACGCCGATTTCGGTCGCGACGTAGCCTGCAGGCTGATGCTGTCACAGGTAGAGCGTTGCGGCAAGGTTGTGTATCGTCTCGGCGCCAGTTATAAGACATGCCTCGGGCTTATGAGTTGGCAAGACCTGTGCTGCGAGATGGACCCCAGACGATACTGCGATTGAACCTGCCGAATCTTGGCGGGCATATCTTACGTAGTCGTGCCTATCCGCTACCAAGTCCTGTCGGAACCAGCAGTAGCCGCTGCACCTTCACCACGGCTAACGAGCCGACGAGTACACAGCTAGGCCCGGCTAGGTAGTTCCAGTGTGACATGTCTCTCGAGCATTCTGAGCCATCGCTGTTCGGCTTCGCTCCGAGTAAAAGCCGGTTCATGAGCCTTTCCATGCGGCTTATGGAACGAGATCGAGACAGACCTGCTGGCATGTTGCATGCGGAAGCGCACAGCCGAACCGCCGTAGCTTTCCATGCCGAATCCGATATCGGTCATGGCTGTGCAGAACTCTTTCCACTTGAATGTCTTTCCCGAACCATCTCGCAACGACAACCAGAATCCCGGGTCTTTTGGCTCGACTCGGGGCAAATGGCTCCGGGTCGAGTCTGGTGGAAGCCGTCGGTCCAGTGGGTTGCTTGGTTGCTCGGGTGTAGTTCCCTGGCTTGGATTTCGTTTGCCACGCGCTCGCTTGACCTGGGTGGCCGTCGTCTCAGGGCCCCGTGAAAGTAAGTGAATGGCGTTACGGGCTTCATATCCGCTTCCGCTGCCGCGACCCTCCTCCCGAGAGGCATTGTGCGCTGTATCTCGGCGAAGACGGCTCTAAGATCTCCGTCAATCTCGGACGCCTGCCCCATTCGCTGGTCCAACCGTTCTCAGAACGCCTCGTATCCTTTCTCCGCATAAGCCGTGTACTCGCCGTTCTCCACCATTGTCCCGATGGAGCTTTCGACAAGACCCAGTAAAGGTCGTGATTTGCCGACACGCTCGCTGGCAATAGAGCCTGCTGTTCGAGAATACTGCTCCCAGTCTGAGACAGACAGGTAATGGTTCGCTGTCTCTTGAAGACACACGGCTAAGACATGTAGATCGCTCAGTGTTTGCGACATTGCTGTTGGAAAGGACTTGCTCCTGTCCACCTCTCGGTCAACAGTCCTCATCACCGCTGGGAAACCCATGACGTAGAGAACGGGATCGTGCTCTCTCATCTTTTTGAAAAGCTTGTGACCGACAGGTCCGAGGGACTTTGGTGGCGGCGGTTCGAGAACTTGAAAAGCTTCCATCCTCTCTTCGAACACGGTCCTGAATTGGTCGTACAAAGATGCCAAAAGCTGCAGCCTGTCTTCCCCTGGAGAGGATTGCATGGCAGCGCTCAGGCGCTGATGTAGGGCTTCGAAGCTATCAATACGTCCACAAAGTGCGCGTGTTGCTACAATCTTGGTCTCGATGGGTGGATGATACATCCACCGACCTCACAACCTCCAACTTGACGCGTTTGCGCAGTTTGCCCGCCTTGGCGATTGGTGCATGATCGAGAAGAAATGGGATGAAGTTCTCGTCTATCAAAGAGGGGTCTACTACGGCAACGCTCTCCAGGCTGCCTTCTCTAGGAGACATCAAAAGGTGGCAAAGCTTCTCCAAAAAGGAGCCAACATCAACGTACAAGGCGGCGAATACGGCACCGCCCTCCAGGCTGCCTCTGCGGGAGGCTATCAAAAGGTTGTGCGGTTTGTTCTTGAAAAAGGAGCAGATGTCAACGTCCAGGGCGGTCAATATGGCAACGCTCTTCAAGCTGCCATCGGAAATGGCCATCAGGACATCGCACGGCTTCTGCTTGAAAAAGGAGCGGACATCAAGGCTCAGGGCGGCCAATCCGGGAACGCTCTTCAGGCTGCAGCTGAAAACGGCGATGAGGAGATGGTAAGGCTTCTTCTCGGAAAAGGAGCAGACGTCAACGCTCAGGGCGGCTTTCATGGCCACGCTCTCTACGCCGCTGCCTTCAGAGGCTATCGAGAAATCGTCGAGCTGCTTCTCAAGAATGGGGCAGAAATTAACGCACATGGACGCGAGAACGGCACTGCTCTCTATGCTGCGTGTGATGGATCCCATCGAGAGATTGTCGAGATGCTTCTCAAAAACGGAGCAGACCCCTGTGTGGAGGGTGGCCATTTTGGAAACGCTCTGCGGGCTGCCGATGTAGGAGGACGCAAAGATATCCAAGAGCTCCTCATTAGTTACGGAGCAGATGCACGAGACAAGGGCTGGATAAAGCGGTCGATGACGCTTTGGCTACAGACCGCTGCCGGAAACACTTCCCACCTACATTGCCAGGAAGCCGTCAACTGACCACGCTGCGCTGAAGGGTGGGGGGTTGCGGTCCATCCTATCACGCTATGCAATCAATAACCAAAAACATCAACGCGAAGACTTCCGTACAGTATTGTGCATATGTCACTTCCTCTTTTGCAAACATTAACAAGGTTTGAGAAGCTGAAAGTTGCTGTAATGGACCCCTGTTAACCTCTGGTAATGGCTGTGGCGACTTGTTTGCAAGCCAAATGTGGGGTCGGGATGGTCAGCGACAGTGCGAGTAACAGCACGTAATCAAGAGCTACTTGAAAGCATCCATAATCGGCTTCAACAGCTGCCATTCTCCCACTGTTAATCATGGTGGTATGTACACAGTGAGATTGACTTTCGGCCCAGCCTGTGTGGGTCAAGTTCAGAAAGATGAAGTGTGTTGCCAAGAGGAAGCAACATATGATCAATACTATTTCACATGTTGTGGACAATCTGTATCCCGCGGCCCACAAATCCTCAGTTGTGTGGGTTTTCATCGCAGGGCAACAAGAAATCTTGTGAAGCACGTCTTGAGCACGGTTGGAGCCTTTCACGATGTGCGATTCAGCATCTGTCAGGGTCCTTTCGCGGGCATGCCTTTGCTCCGTCACCTTGCTTGCAACAAAGCAGCATGCGAGCTTGGTCCACTGGCAGAATAGTGCTCATGGGAGAGGGGTGTACACCATTCGTCAGACGAAGGGAGTCTCCAGTTTCGATTTTTTTTGTTTTTTTTTGTTACTTTATCCCGACTTCCTTGCCGACTCAGATCGGTTGCAGAGCGTTGCAAATCTTTCTCTTAATTTCATTGACTTGACTCTGGACAATCTCTTCTATTTTCTTCGCCACACTGTCGTCAACGGTTTTGCAGATTTCCTCTTGGGCCGTACGTTTCATGTCGTCCATCATGTCCCTAACCTCGTCACCGACGTCAAGCAACTGTTTCCCCAGCTCATCGTGTTTCCCGCCTAGCTCGTCTACATCATGAGACAAAATGCCGACGGCGTCGTCAAAGTCGTCTTGACGCTCTTCCAATTGACAACAGGTTCCTTCCAGATCACCAAAGGCTTCTTTATGTGACTTCTTCCAGGCCTGCAGTTCCTCGACCTCCTTCTGTAGTTCCCTGACGGTCCTTCGTAACTGCTCAACAGTGTTTTGTAGTTCTTCGCCATGTTGATCTCGCACCCTGGGGGATTGTTGTTTCGATGCATGCAAACTTGCAACCTGGCTGTCGTCGTTTGCCATGACGAGCAGGGTTCGCAGTAGTTTCTCGTGGCGGGGCGCGTCCGCCGCAGATGTCGTTGTGGTACGTAGTGCGGTGGTTGAACGTTTCCTTTTTGTGGTTGAGCGTATGTCGCCATCTTCCTCTCTATAGGAGAGGACGCCCGGAAGGGGACCCTGCACATCATCCCGCCGGTTGGTGTCTCCATACTCGGGCAGGTCGCAGTCGCCCCCAGGACCTGCGGCGACGATGTCTACGACGTCGGACCTGGCCCTCGGGGACTGGCTTTCGGCCACGCGTTCGCCGTATGGGGGCGGTGGAGCTCGGTATGGCGGAACATCGTCGAAGGGGAGAGTGCTGCCGCTACCACATGACGTAGGTGTTCCTGGAGCAGAACTGTCGCGATCCCTCGTGGACCGAGGACCACGATGATACTCACGGGGCGTATGCTCTTTGCCGCCGTCACCATGATACAGCCTACTGGCATGGATCATAGCCTCGTACGTTGCCTTCACGGGTGTCGCCAAGTCCGGAAACTGTCGGATAGCCCCCAGGTACGCCCCAAAATGTGCTTTTGCCAAGATGTCATGCCGGAGGTATAGAGAGAACAGTGAGGCGACCGTGAGTGACTCCGCAGCTTGAAATGCCAGGTTTTCAGACATATTTTCGGTGGTGAAAAACCTCGGTACGATAAACTTCGCACGCTGGCCACCATAAAGCCGGAACTGGAGGCGGGTGACCGAGCGCACTCCGTTCAGTTGTCGACGAACATTTTCGAGAAATGGTGGTGGATTTGGAGAGTTGGTGTCGGTTGTGTCATGATTTGATTTCTTCAGCGAATGGATCTGGTCGGCTGTGATCTGCAGGTAAACCGTGATTTTGGTGGCGACGCTGTCGGCAAGGCTGATGGCGATATGGAAAAGGACCAGTCCTGGCAATTGGTATCGGACCCGAAAATCAAATGGCTGAGAAATGAATTCCGGTGGTCGTCCTACGTCTTCGCGCACGGCGATAACACCGGAGGCGTCAAAGTTCAAGTTTTGACCGGGCGGCCTGGGCAGGTTTTTGCGACTGCCCTTGGTCGACATTCTACCCTGCGCAAAGGACGTAGTCAACCAAAACTAATAGAGGATTGCAACTTACCGTGGTGATGTCGTGCCTTCCAATCTTCAGAAGAAACTCCCTCGCGGAACTACCATGAACAAGACGGGCCCGGAATACCTGGAACCTACTCGCAGTGCATTGGCAGCTCTTGTACGAATAGTAGAATGCCGGGGACGACAGTGGCTAATCCGCGCGTGAAGCCGCGAAAGCTACGCTTGGGACTGGGACCGTCGCAATTCCCGACCTACTCGCACAACAAGTCGTACCGGCATCAGAAGCGGGTCGGATATTCAAGGCAGGCCTGTCAGGTAAGAGACACGCGAAAGGGGTTGGCTGAACGGTAGGAAAGCCACGACGCTGAGGTGGACGGCATCGAGGTAAGAGCGTTGTTGAAGTGCAGCGATGTAAAAAAATGTGGAAGGGAGGGGAAGCTGGAATTAAAGAGGCTGCGTAAGGGGTACACGGAGAGTGGCTGGGAACAAAGTGGCCGATTGGACGAATCCGTTTCAGCGGGTCATCGAGGCTCGAGCTAAGCAACACTGACCAGCCCTACTCCAGATAACTTGTGCCTTGGACACTGATCAACAAGAAACTTGGCTGGTGGTGTCCGTAATTTACGCAGTACACTAGGCTCAGTGTCTGGTGACTTGAAACGGGCACCCAGGGCCCATCGTCCGGAGTCACAGCTTATTCAACTGATGGTGAACGCGAGCGTGCACTTACCATGTACATGGCACGTCGTCGAGCTTACGCTCTTGGTAGTATTCACACTTCTCAGCCTAGAGTATACAGTACATGCAATTCAAGTCTCGCTACAATGGTGTTATCCACTGACGTGATCAACACCCGCGCTGACATTGGGCCCTGCACCTCAGGACAGGGCGGCCGATTGACCTGAGCACAGTGGCTCTGCGCCTAGAAGACAACCAACCAGACGAGCCCTGCACTGCAACACCGCAGCCGCCATTTCCATCCAACAGGCCCTCTTAGGATATTCTGCTTTGTGGTGCGACAGTCCAGGGCTTGTCGGAAGAGCGTCCTTGGCCTGCACGCGGTGTGTCGCGCCAGGGCGACGGTTCTTCGCACAGTGCCGTAGGTAGTTCTAGGGATGGTCCCAGGCTGCACTGGACGCGTTGCGAGGCTTCGCGCGGCGCGTGCCCCCGTATCACACCCGCACGGCTCGGATAGCTGGTTGATGAAGCGACTGCATTACGATGCAGAGGCCGCAGGTGCGTCCGATGGCAGGCGCGCGTTTCCGCCACCCGTTGGCGACGGATGATCGCAGCTGCAGAGAAGTCTTGCCGTGCTCCTCAACGAAGGCGACATGTGAGCTAAGACAACCGTTGTTCAGGAGCACCTCATAGGGGCATCGTCTCGGTGGCCGCGTAGGACCGCAGCACCATCGCCACGTGCTGCGTAGCTATCACGACGGCCACACCACGATAACCGGTCTCTACAGAGGAATTCACGTGAGGGGTTCCCTCATGCGCGATGCAGGCTGCTAACATGTCGGACAGTCGGACACGCCTCAGTCCTTTAGACAAAGTGTTTGCTCCGTATTCTAGTGTTTCTTCTTGTGGCTACCTCTGCACTCGAACGAAGTCTAACGTACACATGAGAGTCATGGTTCTTTCACATTCGACTCATATATGGGAATCGCAGCCCACAACTCCTTGTCAACAGAGTCATTTCCAGTCTCCCCACTAGCAACGTCGAGAAAGTCCCCCAGTGGAGGTGTCTCATCGGTCCCGGACGCGGCACGTACCCAACGTAGCAAACCAACAAACAGCATCTTGGCCTCTTGTAGAACATCGCGATCGACATCAATGGCCTCCTCTGAAGACCTGGGAGAAAACGTGATTACGACGGTTGTTACACTTGGGTCTGAGGCAAAACGGGTAAACAAGAGGCCAATGCGAGAGCGCACCGTACGGATGTCGAGTCCATCATGTCCCATCAGTCGCACGTCACTTTCGCCGAAGGTTGGTCCTTTAACAAGCTCTTTGGCTGTCGTTTCAAGATTGACAGGTGAAGGCAGACGTACTCCCCAGCAAGGCAAGCCGTGAGCGGCCCAAAAGTCTCGAATTATCGGATTCGCGCATTCCGTCACCAAAAACTGCAGCTCCCCTTGCAGAAACCTGTCGTACACGACCGACTGCGGCCAGACCGTCGCTTTTTCTCTTGCCGCGTAGACATCTTCCAGCATAGACAAAATGTCATGAACTACCTCGTGTTGACAACTTGTATGAGCTGGTGCGGGCCAAATGACGGGGCGTAATCGTATCCAGTCGACATACGGACGGCGTATTATAGGTGGGTTTACGTCGAAAATCGAGATCCACGAATAATCGTATATGATGTTTGGGTTGACGTCTTTGCCTAACAAGCAGAATAAGCAATTGGCGTCTGGATCGCCCTTCCAGCCTCTTACCTAGATGGTGCACCAAGGACTCCATCAATGACATGAGTTCGCAGACGCGATTCTTGACCTTCTATATGGCCTTCGGAGTGATCTACGCGAGCGTCGTGCATGTTCTGCGGACTGTTCCAATACACTCTTGACTACACTCACAAAACACATGTATCGTCTTGGTATCACAGGTGTGCAACTTGAGAATCTTTCGGGTCACAGCTTTGCGTCCCTGGCAGCATCAGCACGTGCTTTTTCATCGCCAAAGTGCGATAATTGCCACACCAGAAATGGGTCCCTCCCATGTGCCCTGTCGAACTTTCTTCTTCCTCTCATCTCTCAAATCGAAAGGGACCTACGCGGGCTTGCGTTGGAGAATTCCTGAGTGCAACTAGGTCCTCTGATGATAGGGCGAGCAATGGCGGCGCGAAGACTATGCCCCTACTAGGAAGGGCACCGCGAAGCTCAGGTGGTTCATGAGCAGTAGCATGTGCGAGGAGATATCATATGATCGCACGGCCGCAAAAATAAAAACACGTCGAGGAGGCTCACACAGATTCATTGTCGAGTGCACCATGACTGCTGAAGACCGTATACGCCAAGAGTTCACTGTTTGGGGGTATCTGATCAACCACACGGTGGATGCGAGACCAGAGTCGTGAATCAATCAAGTGGCTTAAGCAGCTTCCTTCATTTTGGCCTTCTCGACCGTTCCGTCTATCACTTCCTTGCCTGCAGAAACCTATTGACCCAGACGCACAAACACTGGGGATGAAGTCGTTACTCAACAGGGCGCGATCCTGCGGGCTTCGCATCTGCGGGCTGATCTTCAGTATCATTTAAGTCGATACTCGTTATGAACGCCCTCACCGCGTCGTCTACCTGAAAGATACGTCTCAACCCAGATGCGTCGGCCCCTACCACCTTCAGGCCGGACAGACTCCGTGCTCGACTCAGCGCCACGTATGCCTGTCCGTGCTCGAACATGCGTGAAAGATCAACAACGACGCGGTCAAGACTGAGACTCTGGCTTTTGTGAATCGTCATGGCCCAGCCTTGCGCCAGGGGGATCTGTGTTCGTGACAGGTAGCTGTAAGGCGACTGATCGCCGTACCCGATGACAGCGCAATCGGGTCCGATGGCTTTTTTCTCGCCATTGGCGAACCTGACTTTAGGGACTAGATTGTGTCAGCAAAGATGTCAAGCCAAGGGCCCGCTGCGGGAAGACGTGTTGCTTACACATGTCCTTGTTGCTCCATGCGCTTTTGAGAAAACCCACGATGCGCTTATATCTCTCCGTCGCAGCGCGATAGCCGTCATAGTCATCTTCGTAGTTCTGCAGCGACGGTGGTCGCGGCTCTTGGATCGTGTCGCTGGGTACGAACCCTACAACGACGCCCTGTCGCCCGTTGCAAAGACCGCTGTCTAGATCAACCTGGGATGGCGTCAGTCTGTAGCTGAAGAGTCGGAGTCAGGCTGTGAAACATACATTGGCGAGCAGTATGACGGGCGTGTCCACCTTCAGCTGCAGTTCTCGAGGATAGCGGTGCTCGTGAAGGCGATCGAGGGGCTGCCGTGTCTCCCCTCTGGCGAAAGTACAAGCATCGGCAGCTTTGTACTCGTGAATATGACCAGGGATCTTGACGAACTCTTCAAGGTTGCGCTGGTCGACCTGCTCCCGGGTGGACTTGAGCTCCGTCCCGTTCTCAGCTTCGGCGTGGTGTGCGAGGAGAAGGTTCGCGTCGGCATCATCGAGATGCTGGCCGAGCCGGCATTTCTGGAGGACTTCAACGAACGCCTTGTCCGACTGACGGTGGATGTTCGTCAACCGCACGCATTTGAAGTTGCATCTTTTCCATTCGGGTGCCTTGAATGCCCATTTGTCCCGGTCTTTAAATGCGTCGCCATGGCCGTCGGGGCAAGTCCACTGGTCGTTTAGCTTTTTCATTTTCCTACCGCAGTGTAGGCAGTACCCGAACGGCTTGACGGGCGGCAATTGGCAAAAGTCACCAACTACAATGATCTGAACGCCCCCAAACGGGCTCGAGTTATCTCGGATGGCGCACATGACACGGCTGAGTCGCTCAAAGAACTGGTTCTCGACCATGCTGATTTCGTCGATGATGAGGACTGCTGTGTTCCAGTATCGCTTGAAGTTATATTGACCACGTGCCTTTTTGATAACGCTACCACGACCATCCAGGGGCTTCTTCGCGTCCTTGGGTGTCCATCCAGCGTAGTTGTAGGTGGTCCTGCCGCCGATGTTGATGGAGGCCTGGCCGGTGGGCGCGAGAAGATGCACCGTCTTGTTCGTGTCTTGGTAGTAAGCGGCGAGCGTTCTGTGAAGGGCCCTGACCACAACAGACTTCCCGCACCCGCCGGACCTTCAGTCACGCAGTCAGCCAGCGAGGTATTTGGGGCGACTTGTTAGAGCATACCCCGTGATGAACAGGTTGTGGCCCTGCATGGCAAGGTCGATTGCATTCTGCTGTTCCGGGTAGAGGGGAGGGTCCCCAGGTATGTGTAAGGGCTGTCTTTCCTGGCCCTCAGCGCCTGCCGTTTCGGGTCGGCCCCCTTCGTCGTCCGTCGGGCCATCGACGGCTGCAGTCTCAAGCGCGGGGGTGGGTGCGGGTGGCTTCGTATGATTGCGGGACGGTCGCGGTCTGGAGTGTCGCGATGGGAGAGGGCCGGTGAGGAAGCAAGCGCTCGCGGAACGTCGCTCGTTTCTGCTATCGACCTAGGATGGCTCCGTGAGACTTCCTTGATCAACTCGTCTCGAAGTTTGCCCTCCTGATGCATATTAGACGAGCCCTTCTAAAAGTGGGTGACTCACGGCCTCTTGGAACGTCCTTGTGCCCTTGACTTTTTGGACATGCGTCAGCGGAATGTCTCTGTGCGCGGCTTGCGTCTACTAAACATGCAGCGAGCACCTGAAAACTCCGACGTTTGCGCCATGCACTGAGACCAGCTTGTGAATATCCCGCACTTTCTTCCTTTCCACACGACATAGTACGTCTTACCCTTCGACTTGCTTGGCAGACTTGGGTCGATGCCTCGCGTGTATTCAGCCATCAGGCGCTCTACCTTGGCAAGGATCAGACTCTCAGGGTCGGCGGACGAGGAGCGTTTATCTCGGATTTGCAACGACCCATGCCATGCCTCTGACCCTGTGCATTCGTCTTGAGAGGTCGACATCGTGTTCGTCGGAGCGTGGACGGGGACGCCGGAGTGCACGGCCGCTGGGGTGTGTCGTTGCTGCCGCGTCGCTGGCTCCGGACGCGACTTGGTGCTTGGGTCTGCCACTGCGTTGGGTGCTTTTCCGAGCGCAGACGGAGGTCAGCGTTGCTCCAACGGGTCCTACCACCTCGAGGCCTTACCCAGATGCTGTCGGCACGCCGATCGAGGCGGGTCGTTGATGTGCGTTCTGCTCCGCGACCGCGGCGGACGTCGTGTGGGTGCGGAGAAGACGGGCGGGGGACGGCCCGTCAGCCGCCGTGGGACAACACGTCGCGGCGCCCCCGTCAGGGTACTGGGTACTTTTGGCATACCGGCTGCCTGCCCCGGCGCGACGCAGGCCACTCGATGCTGCGCTGTCCTGGCTGGCTGGAGCACGGCGCAATGTCGCTTCAGGTATGCGCAGCGGCAAGGGCCGCAGAGTGGTGCTTCACGAGAAGTGTTCCACTCTCGCAGGTGGCAGCCCCTGAGACCCAGGGCTGCCGGGCGCATGGTCAACCACAGGGCGGCCTTGCTGTCGGCAGCGGACCCGCACGGTGCGGGACGGGAGGAGCAGCGTCAACAGACTACCAAGACGGCCGTGGCATGAAGGTCGCAGCCAGGACCCACCGCTGAAGTGGCGATAACCCACGGCTCGCACACGGTCTTGTGGCTGGGGCGTGCGCCCTCGCACTGACGGCATCGTTTGCTGCCCCACAACAGCGGTTTGTTCTGCCCGCCACGTTCCAGCGGGAGCTAGGATCTAGCTGGGACGAAGGCGGGGTTGGGCGGGGGCATCGATCTTGAGTATGAAGTAGCGGGGCCACGATCCATCCCACGCCACACTCCGCAACACACTTCACAAGCAACCCTCCCAAGTGGATTCCAACATGGCTGATGCACGTGGAGGACGCGGCCAGGCTCGCGGGGGCCGTAGCGGTGGTGATCGCGGCGGTGGTCGTGGTGACCGTGGTCGTGGTGGTGATCGTGGTCGCGGCAGCTTCCCCAGAGGCGGAGGCGGCGACCGGGGAGGCCGTGGAGGCGGCTCCCGTGGGGATGCCAGCGGCTTTAGAGGAGACCGCGGGCGTGGCGGCAGCTTTGGCGGAGGAGGCAGCGATCGCGGCGGCTTCCGTGGTGGACGCGGGGGCAATTTTGGCGGAGGCGGCGATCGCGGTCGTGGTGGACGGGGGGGCCGCGGCGGCTTCGCTCCTCGTCGTGACGCATTCGAAGGCGAGCCTAAAACTTTCTACGGGTACGTATTGCTATACTCCGTGATGACATCGGAATTGACACCCTTCAGACAGGGCTCGGTTATTCCTCAGCCTGACACCGACGTGACCAACCTCGAGGACGCCACCGTCAAGAGCCACCAGTCCAAAGACCTGGCCATCGTCAAGAAGATGGGCAGTATGAAGCTCACCGACTCGACCGTCTCTCTCATGCCCCGTCGGCCGGCCTATGGAACTAAGGGGAAACAGATTATCGTCTGGGTTAACTACTTCCGCATGGCCATCACGCCCGTGGTCCTGTATCGGTACAACCTCGAGGTCCGCAAGGGCGAGAATGGAGAGGAATTGGCAGACGACCCTAAGGGCAAACGAAAAGGCAAAGCGCAGGCCGGAGGCGGAGGCGGTGGCGGCGGCCATGGGCCCCCTACCAGTGTCCCGAAGCGCAAGCTCAAGATCATCCTGCAGCACGCTCTCGCAGAGCTGCAACGTCTTGAGCCGAAGGCCGTTCTGGCAACCGAGTTCAAGTCCCAGCTCGTCTCGCTCAACAGGCTAAAGCTTGCAAAAAACCCTATCGTCGTCAAGTTCAAGAATGAAAGCGCCACGCGCGAGGAGCTTTACAACGTCAAGATCGTCGGTGAGACCGAGGTCCCGTTGGCTGCCATGGCCCAGTACCTCCGAGACATGGTCGACCCCAGCGATCGCGACGACGCGCACTTCCCCCGCTTCGAGACCTGTGTCGATGCCCTCAATGTCGTTCTCGGCCATAGCTCACGGGCGAACGACCAGGTCGCCGCCGTCGGCAAGGGCCGCTTCTTCCCGTGCGGTCCCGCGGCCACCTCGGCGCGGCTCGGCCAGCAGGGCTCCCTCACGGCCATCAGAGGATTTTTCCAGAGCGTCCGGCTTGCCACCGGCAGGACCTTGCTGAACGTCAACGTCACTCACGGCGTCTTCAAGACCGATGTCCTTGTCAGCGACCTTTGTAGGTGGTCCGGCGTCGACAAGTTCGGCACCGACGGCATCAACGCGCAGGACACCGTTCATGTGAGATTGCGTGGCTTATCCAAGTTCCTCGCCAAGACCCGCGTGACCGTCCAGTTTCGCACCGCCGATGGTAAAGACGTCACGGCCAAGAAAGCGATACACGGGCTTGCTTGCAGTCGAGATGTTGACCACACCGTTGTCTTCTCCCGCGGCTTCGTCTACGGCGGCCCGCAGGAGGTCCGTTTCCAGCTGAATCCCGCCGAGGGCCAGACCAAGGTCCTTGGCAGCAAGCGGCCTGGTCTCTACTCCGTTGCAGAATACTGGGAATGGAAGTACGGACAGGCTCCGGACAAGACCCTGCCCCTGGTCAACCTCGGCACCCCTTCCAAGCCCATGTTCTTCCCGGCCGAGCGGTGCACCATCACCGCCGGCCAGGCTGTCCGTTCCAAGCTCTCCGGAGACGAGACCACGGCGATGCTCGACTTTGCCTGCCGCTCTCCCTTTGCCAACGCCGTCTCCATCGAGCGCGACAGCGCGGCGGCTCTGGGCCTTGACGAGCCGATACTGAAGGACTTCGGCATCACGGTGGACAAGAGGCTGTTGACCGTCATTGCCCGCGAGCTTATACCACCCGTCGTAATGTATGCCAACAACAAGGCTCTTCACACGCGCAGCGGCTCGTGGAATTTGGGCGGTGTCAAGTTCGCCAAGCCAGGCCCAAAAATAACCAACTGGAACTGGGTGCGTATCACGGAAGGCCCGAATCCCAGGGTGCCCACCGAAGTAGTCGAGGAGTCTGTTCAGAAATTTGTCGAGTTCCTCAATGAAAGTGGAGTTGCTATCGACACGCAGGCTCCGAACACCGCTCACCAGATCACTGTCGGTCGCGGCACCGCCACCGAGGACATCAGGAGAGCATTCGCAGCCATAGCAGACTACACCACCAAGGCGAAGGGCACCACCAAAGGCTTCTTCCTGCTGGTCATCCTACCCAGACAGGACAACACGCTCTACGGTGCCGTCAAGTCTCTCGCCGACGTCCACTTCGGTTTCCATACCATATGCTCCGTCGAGAGAAAGTTCCTCCAGGATAACACCCAGATTTTTGCTAATATCGGTCTCAAATGGAACCTCAAGAACGGCGGCAACAACCACCTCGTCAAGGACACCATCGACATCGTCACGTCGGGCAAGGCCATGATCGTCGGATACGACGTCACGCATCCTACCAACATGTCCAACGACAGGAGCACAGCGCCCAGTCTCGTCGGGATGGTTGCTAGCGTTGACAAAGACCTTGGACAGTGGCCGGCCGTCGCGTGGGAGCAGCCCTCCCGCCAGGAGATGCTCGGGGACGAGTTGACAGAGCACTTCAAGTCTCGCTTGCTATTGTGGCGTCAGCGCAACCAGAACAAACTCCCCGAGTTCATCGTCATCTACCGCGACGGCGTCTCGGAAAGCCAGTTCACCCAAGTCCTCGAGGTCGAGCTTCCTATGATCCGCAAGGCGTGTGACCAGCTTTATCCGCCCAAGCAGCGCCCGAAGCTAGCCATCATCGTGTCGGTCAAACGTCATCAGACGCGCTTCTACCCTGCATCTGAACAGAACATGGACCCCAAGTCGCGCAACATCAAGAACGGCACGGTCGTCGACCGCGGCGTCACCCAGGCACGCACCTGGGACTTCTTCCTGACCGCCCACACGGCTCTCAAGGGGACCGCACGCCCTGCCCACTACACCGTGCTCATGGACGAGATCTTCAGGGAGAAGTATGGCGTCGGCGCCCCCGCTGCAGATCAACTGGAGAAGCTCACCCACAACATGTGCTACCTGTTCGGCCGCGCCACCAAGGCGGTCAGCATTTGCCCGCCGGCGTATTACGCAGACATCGTGTGTGAACGAGCACGTCTCCACCGTCCTCATTTGTTTGATGTTTCGGACGCAGCGTCTACGGCCACAGGCGCGTCTCTGACTGCCACGCCATCGAACGCCATCCAGGTCCATCCGAACCTGAGGGACACGATGTACTATATCTGACGAGTCACGCTGCATATGGACATGTGGCTGGCTATTCTATGGCACGTGGACGGCAGAAAAGGCAGAATGGAATGCGCACTTCAGTGATTATATCGTTTAGAACAATGACTTCGAGTTCAGGGTCCTCATTGTGATACATGTTGTTCAAACCCCAAGACGATGTTGCCCTACGTACACAGTATTGTTCGATTCGGAAATGCCGGTGACAGCAATTATCAAACATCCCATTCATCATCTGCGGCATCATCACCAACCCCAACAACCGACTCCATGCCCTCCGTCATTCTGGAGACGGCCTGACGGATGAACTTGCCGTCAGGCTTCAGAGCCGCGTACACGTTTGGCACGACGCTGACGGGAGCCCAACCACGCCGGGCCATTGACTTGATGAATTGCAGCTGTATGCCAGCCATGCGCCATACAGGTTTTGGCTTCTTATGCCAATACTTGAAAGAAGTGCTGGCACGAAGCAAAGCCCAGGCGGAGTGCTCTTTAGATGCATACGATGGTTCCAACCATGTCATAAGCGCATTGCTGAGCTCTGCGTCCGCCCGAGGTCGGATGGCGCACCACTCTTTGAAAACTTCCACCATCAGACCTGGACGCTGGCTTTTATCTTTGACCGGGACCACGCTACTGTCCCACTTTGTCTTGATCGTTTCCAAGTCTTCCCTCAAATTCGCCAAGACTTTCTTCAACACCGGATCCGTCGATGCCAACTTTTCCAAGTCCCTGTAGGGACCGACCAGATCGGCGTCCCAATACTCCACCGTCTGGGCCCCCTCGCCATCTTCGCATGGCGTAAGGGGTGTCATGTCGCGACTAGAATCACGACGCACGCTCATGTCTTGGGAGACGATGCGTAGTTCCTCCTCGATAGCGGGTTTGGCGATCGTGAATTTCAGGAAATCGATGATATGAACGGGATCCTCTCTGGCCGTCCAGGTCTCGTATTCATAGGCCAGATATCCCACCATACGAGCCTGACAGCTGCTCAGGACTTTGTCTCGAAACCTTTGCCAGTCGCCTGCTTCAAACTCTAACCCTTGCTTCGATTGGTCTACCAGACTCCCAAGAAGTGTGCTCAGCCATAGGGCCTGCTCGTTGTTAACGTCGTTCATGCTGTAACAGAGACGTTCCTTGAATTTCGTGACGATTCCCAAGAATTTGGGCTGTATTTCAAAGGCAATACTGCGGGTAATCATTGTCGAAGCCGCCGAGGACTTGCCGACCTGTCGAGTGAGGTCTCCGAATGACGCCTCATCCTTCCTGAGAAACCCAGAAAGGTCCGGCCTTGTCGGGACATTGGCATTCTCAAAGTTAGACACAATGGCTGGCTCCCAACACACCCACGCCCTGTCTCCATCGTAATCGCCACCCGAAAGCTTATCGGCAAGCGCAACGTCTCCCTTCGCCGGAAACACGATGACGTTTTTCAGCGCGCGCAACTCCGGCTTAAACACGGCTTTGACTCGCTGAATATCGCTGACCAGATGTGCCGGGGACCGGGCCACGAGGACATCGCACCCGTGTAGCATGGAGTCCGAGAAGCCTTCAGTTCGAAATGTGGACGAGAAGCATACATGCACCTCGTTTTCTTCCAGAATGCCCCAGAAGTCGACTACCATGTATAAGTACGCCGAGTTAGGAATCCTTATGCTCATTTTCTTCGTCACATTTTCACACTTTTTGCTCTGGAGCTTCCACATCATGTCTTGCATGAACTTCTGTTTGGTTGGCTCGAAGCCGCCATCGCCGAGATAACTAAGCTGTTCTTCTTTCGACTCAGGAAGGCCAGCCAGGAACGGCACGCTGCTATGGGCCAAACGCTTCTTCCTGGCAGTTGAATTTTCATCCACCCATTTCCGGAACTGCAATGGATGCTTGATGGCATTTCTCAGAGCTTCAAGTTCGTCGCTGAGCTGACGTAGAACATTGTCTCCCACTACTTTTCTCATGATTTGTTTGTCTTTGGCACGGTCTTCGAGAATAGGAAGAAACTGAATATTGAGGTTTGCGGATCGAGGCTCTGCAACGAAGTCCTTGATTTCGAGGGTCCGGTGTTCCTGGTGGAGGAAGTCGCAATTCCATTTTCTTTGCGAGGGCCATGTCTCTATCCAAATATCGCTCCCGGTATCTTCAACGTCGATGATCCACATGCCTTTGGCAGAACCGAGACGACCCTGAATGGCGGAGGGTACGTCGCTCAATCCAAGGACGTCCCTGACTTTTCGGGCAAGAGAAAGCGACATGCGACCAACGCCATCGTTCATCACTTGTCCGATTGGTGATACGACATCTTTCTGCATATGTCGTATCTGATCTTGATCTAGGACAGCCACTGCGGTCGTTTTGCTGAGTCCAAGCTGGATGCGGGCGAACAGCTTAAGATAAAGCTGGTCTTCGTTGCGATCCAATTGCAGGAGCCAATCGAGCATCTCCCGAACCTCCAGCTTCTGGCGTGGCTCTCCAGAAACGTGCCTGGGCCAAGGAAACGGAGAACAAGCGGCAGCAAAGTCGCTCCCATCTTCAGCAAAATAAGTCAACGTTGTCTGAGAGATGGCCTTCGGCTGCGGACCAAGAAGCACGCTGGCCTGGGGTACCTTTCGCCCCGAATCTCTCGCATAAAAAGCCCGCCACTGCCTGCCGGCGAGACGATGCGAACAAGACGAAAGCCAGCGGATGACTTCTTCGGACTTGTCAGGATCGTTAATGGGAGCGGTCCATGAGCTCGGTGATGGGGTCGCCAGACTAAGAAATCGGTCAGGCCCGAAGCGACGGTACAGGCGGCATCCTTTGTCTAAAACGGCCGGTTTCATCACCAGAGAGAAGATGGGGCCAGAGCGGACATTCTTTGTTTGAACAAGAGAAGCCGCGAATGTGACGTGCTGCCGTTGGAGAGACTCGAAGCCTCGCAGACCTGCCGCCCAAGCATCAGGCGCAGGCCTCCCAGGAAAGACTTTCGTAGCAAATGAGGGGTGCTCCCGAAGGGCGCGGCACATGATGTCGTAGTCACTCCAGGTTTCATCACAGGACATGGCTAAGTTGTCAAGGACGACACCGCAGTGAAGCGCAATGCGAGTGACTTCCCAGGCAACAGCGAAAGGAGCCCGCGTGAGCCAGGACGGGAGTATTGCTGCAGCCGTTATCATCAATACAGAAGCTCAGGAGAAGACGTCTAACAGCAGAAGTAACGCCGTATGAAACTTCCGGAAGACTCACGCCAGGTAGCATCAAGTCGGGACTGCAAATCGACGACTGGCGCTGGTGTCTGTGGGGGCCCGAGAATCGGTTCGTACAAGCTTGGATCGTCGATGCCCGAAACCTCAGAGTAAGTGGTCAATACGCTCGGAGAGGCGTCGCCAGGGATAGTTACATTGCCGGGCGGATGGCCATGATCGCCCAAACGCACGCCGACTCCGAGCTCTCCTGAGGAGATATCGCAGCTGTGTGAGTGAGATGAGGATGGGGGAGTATGTTCTTGCTCAGGAACAGTCCTCTGAGCACCTGGGATTGGGATCTCTTTTGCGGGTGAGTCTACTGGGGTGTACTGCGCAGTGTCTGGCGGCGGGACGCATGTAGCGGTACAAGTGCTTTCTGGTATCAGCACGCACGTCGTCGTCGAGGGGTGAGAGACGGTCGCGCCGGCTGATGCGGGCTGAAAGGGGTTGGCAGATTGCGAAAAGCCAACTTCGTCGTCCACAGCGCTGGATGTGTCGCCGGTGGTCTCGGCTGCCCTTTTGAGTACGTTAATGAGCGTCAACTGCAATCGCAACAGCTCGCCTGGAGAATGGGCCTTCGGTGGTGTTGTTGTTGCAGCGATCATATCATGAGGGTGGCATGGGTGAATCCAGTCTTCGCTGATGGCAAGGGCCTCCCAGAGGAAGGATCGTAAGATCTTGTCGAGAACAAAGACGTTGCGATAGTAGTGATGTATTGCGTATTTCAGTATAGCGAGGCTGCGGGCAAATTTAGCATCACATTGAGCACGGCTCGATACTAGAGAACCTGTCGACGTGGTGTCGGGAATCTCGATGCCGAGATTGTATTTGCTATTTAGTTCGCGAATGGTTGTAATGACTTTTTCCGGGATCGTATCGTTCTGCGGGGCCATGATGGATGGGCAAGGAAAGCGCAACCAGTGATTCTCTGACACTGTGACGAATAACTTGCTGGAACAATTGAATTCTTTGAACCGCGTATTCGTTCAGGAAAAGGAACCAGGGAGGCGCTGTCGAACGAGAGAAAGGTTGTGTAGCACAAGAAATCACAGATTTGATCACCTCAGTCACAATCGTCGGAGCGCACCGACAGGGACGGGAAAGAGACACGTCCCTTTGGCTCTAAAAAGCGCCATTCTAGCGTGCTTTTCCCGACGAGTGGAGCAATCCAGGCAGTTATGCTAGTATCTCAGACTCGTAAATCGCTTACTGGAAGGTTCTTGGCTCAGATCCCTGACGGTCTCCGGTAACTGCCAAGTCGCGCTAACAAGGGGATGGGACTATGAGCGGCTGCCAGCATCAGATGGCGCCAAGGGCTCCCTTAGGGCAACAGTGCCGTGGGGCACCACTCGAGATTCCTTAGCAGACCTATACAGCGGATCAGATTGAATCGCTGCCACCGCTTCGACAGGCGAGACACTCTTGATTATAGTGACTTTTTCCGGGATCGTATCAATCTGCACTCGTCGCAGTCAAAGCCCCGATGCTGAGACGGTGCAGGTTGTAGGATGCTCACCGCAGCAGCTTTTGTCGCGACGGCGATACGCCCACCCGACTGGCGGAGAAAGCCTGCACTGTGGCCTGCGGGCCCACTGGGGGCTGGCGCCGGATGATAGAACGTCACCAATCAGGCCCTTCCTTGCCGCTGCCTGTACATCCTTAGCTTCCAGAGTGTTGGCCGCCTTGCAGGGGACTTTTCGCGGAACAGTCGCCATTTCCATAGTGTGCACCAAGGCCACTGGGTGTCCCCGCCGAGCGTGCAATGGCTTCCTACGGAGGCCCCGGAATATAGTCGAGGCGTTCGCTAGAAGAAATGGAGAGCTCGAGGCATCGGCATCAGGTACGGTGGCCGGAAAGCCTCGACACGCACTCGCCCTTGGACGGAGACATGGTGGTAAGTATTGTGGAACACTGACGCGCCCGCGATAAGCGGAACGACCATTCGCCAACTTCAGGTCCTGGGTGCCGTACCCTGGAAGGCTCCGCTTCACAAGTGGCTTACTCGATCAACATGCTCAGCAAAGATCTACGCAATGTGGCGAGCACTGCATGAAATGGCTGTGGATTGCTGGACTCCCGCATACATACTCTACGGACCCGACGGCTAAAGTTTCCGCCTGATGCTTCGAACGACACCACATCTGGTCAAACTTCCAATAGCGCCATTAGACGGCCATCGCTTTCGCAATCCCTCAGCTGCTCCTCTCTCCATTCGTCCCAACCCTGTTCTACTCCGAAAACCTGAAGTATGGCCTTTGCTAACGGTAATGCTGAGGTCCAATCATGCTCTAGTCCCAATCCCCAAAAGACTCGTCTCATCTTCTCATCCCCCATGCATTCCGCCAACTGTGGGCTCTTTCCCCGCAAAGCATCAGCAAGTGCGACGTCCTTCGCACTCAGCGACACTTGACCGCCACACAAGGCCCCCATATCCGCGGAAATGAGGGACAACGCGAATGCCTCTCGTCGCGGAACGACACGTGCCATTTGCCAGTCAACGATCCCAATGATGTTGTTCTGATCGTCGACTAGCAAGTGATCACCTTTGTCGTCAACATGCCTGAGAAAAAACGCATCATTGCCGTCGGCCAATGTGCTCGCGTTCTTCTTGAGGAATCGATACACTAGAAAGGCCTCAACCGGGAATTGTGGGTACAGCTGACCGTCAACAATCAGCGCGAGATACTGTTCAGCCCAGGCCGAATAATACTCTGTTGCCGTTTCGAATGGGCCCCAAGGATCGAGGCAAACGAACCTGTCGCTTGCTGCAGCAGAAACCGAAGGTTGATCTTGAGGAGGCTTGACACACAGAGAACCGGCTTGGTGGAACTTATGCTTTTCCAATTCCGCCAGGATCTCTCCAAGGCGTTGCCAAACCTTAAAGGTGTCTCCTCCACCGTCCCAAGGTCTACCAGCTAACTCCTCCATCAGAAGAAAGCAGACTCCGACGCCACGATCGGTTCCCTGGGAGGGGATACCAAACGAAAATACCCGCGGCGCTGGCACTTTGGTAGTCTCCAGGAATTTCAGAGTCGCGTACTCGCTTTGGATCAGGTATTCGGCGAGAGGTGAAGGAAGACCAACAGCAAAGCCAGTAACTCGCGGCACTCGTAGAAGCCACGCAGGCGATCCATCCTCGAACCGGACGCGAGCATGGTAATTCGCACGGCCCGTGAGAGATTCTAATCCTAGAACCTTTGAAGGATATTCTAGTACACAAGGCGTCCCTTCGTTTAAGCTGGAGGCAAGGTTGCAAATTGCCGGTCCGTTGATTCGAGCACGAAGATCGTTTATCTCATCGGCCATGAGGGCCTCATAAGCTTCATCGTTAAGGGACTTGGAACGCATTTGTGATCAGCATAGTACGCGGCCATACTTCCAGTTTGCGCGACTCACCGTAGCGTCGCATTGATGGAAGTTCCGGGAAAGGTGTCGCCCGCAGAAGTGACTGCTGCACATGTCACAACCAGCCTCTACCGAACGGGCACTTGGTCTTTGGCACGTAGGCACCGAACAATCGAAAAACCTTTGGACCATAGCAGTGTAGGGTCAATCGCAGATAGCAAAGGTACCCAGATCGAGATTCACTGGTGTTGAAAGCGGGCGAGGACAAGAGGAGAAGTCCTACGACGTCACAACCCCGCATATGTACTACGGTAGGCGGTGAAGTATTATGCCGGGTCATTACCGAGCGTTCTATCGCATGCAGGCATGTATTGTACAGCGCCCGTCTATCAAAAGTCCACCAATCATTATCTGCACATAGTCCCAGCTCGCATGTTGCCTGTCTTTCGATCGTACTGTAATTGTCCTCGTGTCAAACAATTGTCACATCTCAGGCGTTTTCAACATCAGTCTTTCCATTTTTATTGATGACTGCAGATAATTCAATCAGGCAACTCCTATCAACCGGTTCTAACCGCGACAGCACGCAATGCTCCGGGTTGAAACGTCTCCACGTCTTGCCAGACGCCCATAACCTCCCTCAAGAGATGCTCCTGGAAAATGAGGTTAAATCCTGGGCCCCATCGCTCTAAGTCTTCCCTCTCTATTCCATCAGTCTCTCTATTCTCCTCCAATATCGATACTGCTTTGTCCCACTCGTATTTCTTTAAGCAATATCCTACGTTGGAAACTATGTCAATCACAACCATCGAAAGACCTTTCAACAGCATGGCCCCTGCCGACCAGGCAGCTGGAAGCACTCGGTGCGCTAAGACAAACTGCAATGATTGGGCGGTGGCCAACTCTCGCTACTGCAGCGCTCGTGAGTTTGAAATGCCTCGGTGAAGAATATCTTAACTTATGAAGTCAAAACAGACCAGGGATAATTGCCATATTACAGCCCCAAGTCTCGAACCCGAACTCATTGTGGAAAGAAAGCTGAGAGCTTTCGCCAAGTATGCCAGCGTTATGCTTTACCAATCGACACATCACAATATGTATGCTGAGGAGTGCACATTCTCAGCCAGGATTGTATAGGTAGCGCCATCAAAATATATGCAAATGGCTTTTGTTGCGACTGAGTCTCACCGGGGAATGTACTGATAGCAATTCTATCTCCGTGTACTTACACCGGCTGCGTGATGTTTATGAGCCAGGGATGTTTCTAATTCTAATTTTTCAATCCACTCATATTTTGGTCATCATCTATATCATATCAAAATGCTTTCAAGTAACACCTTCAGCTTCGCCATCTCTGCTGCTAGCCCGCCCTGACTCTCACTATCTTTCACCGCCACGGGTGTTTCTTCCGGAGTGCCGTCTTCAAAGCTGAGTCCCGTCATCGCACCAAAGAAATCTTGTTTCTGAAGCAGATCGGCGACTTTGAAAGGAGAGCTGGTGATGTCGTAAAGGGCACCTCCAGCCGGTGATGTCTCGATTCGAACTTGTATCTGCAGCCCGAAAGCAGGCACTCTCATGTCAAGCCTTTTTCGGTATTCTTGACCTGTGGCGAATGAGATGAGGCACAAAAGTGGATCCACAATTGCCGTACTGCAATTGTGGCTTATATACGCTACGCGACATGATCACTCTTCAAGGCTTCCCACAACTCACTGTCGCAAAGTATGTCTCTACTCCAGCTTCTACGGCCGATACGATAGAAAACAGGCGTTTTCCGTTGTCGAAATCGTCGCATGAGATTGAGGAGGTATAAACCAGGCGGAATGCGGCATCGTATTGAGATACCATAGGTATGTGATTCCAATGAAGCAAGAAAAGGTTCCGCATAAAAGCATAATGATAAGACAGACCCAATTCACCCGTGACCAGCATTATCACCAAGTATTTTCACCACCGGAGGTCGTGAGCCAAACCGTTTCACGCTGTATCTTAATGTTCTAATCTAGGCTGAGACTTGGTCAACAAACATATTCAGGTTCAAGCCTGAAAGGTATACTCACCTATCCTAAATAGGAAGATATTCCCACGTACAGCTTCTCGACTCGTTCAGATAGAGAACACGGCAGGACTGTTAGAGGACGATCGTAACTCAAATACGCTTCGAATAGCGATCTTTTGCCGAAATTATTCATCTTGACTACTCGGCACTGGGTAGCCTCGAGGTATCAAGTGATTCGATGCGGGATGTGCCGTGACAATGAGGAAGGCCCACACCCCGGCTACCTATGCGCTATGTACTAGGCATCTCCCTCGCCAAGTCTCTCTTTTGGACCAACAAAGTTTTGGGGCACGTGAGCTCTGACTTGGACAGCGCGTTTGCTTAGTGGACAAAGGCACTTATCGCCATCAACAATTTTCCCAACAAGTGGACCCGCAACTCGCATAGTATACATATCACCATGCAATGTGCTCAAAGACCAGGGCCGAAGAGAACTGGAACAAGATTCGGCCGCAAAGACCTCAAAGAGGCTGATACTTTACAAATGCTCACAGGCTGCCCTGTAAAACATCCATCAGCCTTTGTATTCCTTTCTATGGTGAGATGAATATGAGATCTTTTTCTACTTGAACACATCTAATTGCAGCTTAGCGGACGCAGTTAGCATCAGGGAACCCACTTACCCTTGGTGTTGTCGGGAAACGTAGTCAAACGATCATGGCCCATCCACGAGGCAGCAAAACCCTACGGCAGATGCCTCACCGCTTCTGCCGAGAGCCTGTGTTCTCCTTCGTCTTCAGGATGTCTGGAATTCGGAAGCATTGGAAAACCTACGGTGACAGGGCGCCATGACAATAGTATTAATCACTTGCTCGCTCAATATGGGCAAGCAATTGCAATTCGGCGTAGTTGTGTTAGCCTGTGGTCTCATGACGGAGTGCTGACAAAAGCATGTCCATCATCTCTGAGCTCTCTGAAGGCGATTTCTGGCTGTTCCTCGGAACACAAAACGTTTTATCCTTCGCAAAATTGAGGGCATAAGAATTGCTGGATACGTTGACGCCGCGATAGGACTTCAGAATAGGCTAACCACCTGCGGTCAGGCTCTGTGCTACCACAGCGAAGTGTCAAAACAATACCGGCATGCGGACGTATCTCGATCGGCTTGCTGACCTCGGTCAGTTCATTGGCGCCGTGGTCGTTTGGCATCTTGAACGACGCAGGGATTGTATTTGAGATAACTGGCATTGATACAAGAGACCTTTTGAGAAGGCTGTGTGATGTGTCCCTCGAATGTGGTCCAAAACGAGGGAACCCAGGAACAGATAGATCCAATGCATGAGGCAGATAGATCGCTTCCCCGACTAACAACAAGATGTGTTAGCGCTCCCCAATGGTATACCAATCCCTCGCCTTTGTTGGCCTAACGATTAGTTTCGTCTCTCAGACTGAGACTTGTGACTAGTTCCGTCTGCCATTACCGGTCCTGCTGTTTTCTGGCTCCTCGTCTGGCGCAATGATGATGGCTTCGATGACAATAAGCTACTGGAACCCGATGACCCTGAGCGAGGAGAAGAAGACTTAGAAGAGCGGCTGACAGATCCCGAGGGGTTCGGCACACGCAATTGTTGGCCTTTTTTTTTGTCTCGACTTCTGTGGCGAATTCCCAATGTACATATACATTATCATCACCATCGGCACGTTATTGGAAACATGGAGGCAAGAATGAAAAAAGAAAAAAAAAGAAAAAATTACCGACACCTAGTTCGGGGTTCGATTCGTATATCCTTGGTTTTGGACGCGTTTGATGTAGAGTTAAGACATAGTCAACATCATAGTCCGCTAATGAAATGCCAAGCGCATTGAGTGTTCATTTTATTTACGGTTGAGAAGAAAGTGATAGATGCTCGATGAGCAGTAGTCCCGGTTTCATCCTCTGTTCATTTCCAAGTCAGTCTCCACGCATCTGCGTGGCTTAACCCCCCAAAAGCTCTATATGTCCAGTATAAATCTGCGAGTTCGTCGTGGCGATGACATGGAAGATGGATTGTACAAAAAAAAAACGACGAAGCCCTGGTCCGACGATGGGGCCGACAACACGCTGTAGGGAGGCAGCCATTCTTTCCAGTACGGCACTCCTGTTTCTAAGCATCTGTTCCTCCAAGTGCCAATGGAAATCATCCAAGTAGCAGCCGTGAACTGGATCAACGGTCTCACCCTGGCGAGGGGGGAGTAGCCTCTCGAAGTTGTATGAGGCCAACAACCTCAGAACTGTCTGCAACATGGATTCATTTGCATGAAAGCCTTTTAGCGTTCGAAGGTAGAAGGCGGTGCCCTCTGGTGAAGCTGCCCATTCGCAGATTGCCGCGTCGATTGACGAAAAGCGCCCGCAGTGACACAGGAAAGAGACAAAATTGCACCCACTCCCACCTGCTGTTCCTCCGAGCCTATTTTTTACGCTTTCATACCACATCCGACGACAGTCCCTCCCCAAGTCATTTTTTGCCGTTCTGAGTCAAATCGCGTACGGCTAGAACGACCCACCCATCAACTACACTACTTTTGCTCCAACATCGCATCTCGACGGTCGGCGTAAACGCACCGTTATAACCGAAAATGAGAGTTGGTCTCACAGTCATCATGGCGACGCTGCTCGCGTCCGTATGGGCCGCGGCCCTCGAACCCGGCCTGCACGCCTCAGGCGTTTCCTTCCTCGCACCAGTAGAAGAGCGCGACAGCAACGCGAATGAGGATCAGAAGCTCTGGAAGGGCAAGGGCGGCGGGAGCGGGGGCGGCGGAGGGGGCGGCAGAGGAGGAGGCTCTTCAGGTGGGTCTATCAAGAGGTAGTACCAGCAGCAACGGTGGCATTCGCTCTGGAGGTAGTGATTCTGGCGGCAGTCGCTCGGGCTCTGGCTCTCGCTCTAGCGCTTCAAGTTCAGGTGGCTCATCAAGTTCTCGCACAGGTCATTCAAGCAGCGGAGGCAGAAGCAGCGGTACCAGTGGCACCGGAGGCATCGCCAGAGGCGGTAGCCGCGACAGCTCCGGCGGATCCACGAAGACGGGCAGCGGCCCCGCGCCGGCCTACGGCGGTTCATACGGCGGCGGCGCCAAGGTTCCTGACGTTGCCGGCGCATCGAGAGGGCCCGGTAGCATTGCCCCTTTCTTGCTAATCGGCGGTGGTCTCGCCTTCTGGCCCGGTCTCTGGCTCGGGGGCGCCTACATGTACCCTTACTCTCACCCGTATCGCTTCTACAACCAGTCGGCGCGCGAGAACCAGACGAAGCCGGTAATATGTGGTTGCGCTAGTCACCAGCCCTGCGCATGCGACTAAAACAACAGCACCGAGTACATGAGTGCCCTCCTCGGCAATGGCAGCTACCAGGGCCTGAACCAGTCCGTCGTTACCAAGGGTATCTACAACAACACTGACATCATTCTCATCAACGGCACCCTCCCTAACGGCACGACCGCCTCAGGCGGCACTGATGATGTCGGCTCTGCCGCTTTCCGGGCCGCTTCTGAGGCTCTCGGCTTCTGGTCCATGTTGGCCGTGGTCTTGGCCACCGTCTTCGCCGCATGAGCATATGGAGACGACGCGAAAATGTATGGAAAAAAGTTTGCATGATCCGGATCGGCTGTTGTGATCTTTCACTTTTTCCACGAAGGAGTGTTGGGCGCTCGATATTCACCGTGGAGGCTTTTTGGACTGGCCAGGACAACTAGACCAGGCACTGGCAACAGAGACATTTAGTTCGGCGTACCTAGCCTCGGAGAAAGTCCCTGTCCGGCTGGCTTGGAGTAGGCCCAGAACGCCGTCAACTGAGCTAGACTAGCAATGCACGCATGGCCAGAATGTCATCGTTTGTCTCCTCCTCTGCGCTCACGTCTCCGACGTAACCCATTTTTCCGCTGCGAAGAAACCGTGCTTTCTGGCTGTATTGGGTCGGCAGTCTCTCTGCAGCGCTACCGGCTATCTGTGCGTGGAGCGTGACGGTGGTCCGGTAGCAGTCGCCGCTTTCCCAACCTAAATCAGCATTTGCGAAGAATGGCCCTGTTTTGTTGCGCTCGATGAGACTGCTGAAATGCCCCAGAAACTGCTGAAATAGCTCGTGGCGATGGCAGTGGGATGTCTGCCTTTGAAAGGAGCCGAGTAAGGAAGTCAGCGTACATCAGTCAAAAGAGGGCTTGAAATGAGTTGTGGAGCTCATCGTGGTTGCACCGCAACCTGGTCATCGTTCAGAACGTGCCTGACCTGCAATAACCAGGCGCTCCAGCGTGATCCTGACGGAGCGCAAGCTTGGCTTCCGGCTAGATTGGCCGTTGGCGGACTGCGATCACAACTCACCAAAGGCCCTAAATGTTTTTGATAGGCAGCGAAAGGCACGGACTTCCTCAATCCACGCGAAAAGGCTGCATATGGCGGCACAGCGCGTGGTCATCAAGCGCCCGGATTTGCGCGCGTGCGTCAGTCTCGAGGAGTCAGGCAGTGCGTTCGCCTGACAAACACGCTAATCAATAAGTCCCTTGGTTCACAAGAGCGCATACGGGAGTTATGGAAAGGGTGAAGGAGTGATGTATGTATTGCAGACTAAGTAGTGAAAGTCCACGACGGAAATACTCTCTTGGAAAGACCGCCGTGGGTGCCAATCTCACCAAGGCCAGAGGACATGCAGTTTCACGATTTCTGGCTGTAGACATCGGTCAGCTGCATAACTCTTCGTGCAGCGATCTATGAAGGCAGTTGCTAATACAGAAAATTCGCAAGTCAACTCTGACGGTGAAGAATCGATCGCAAACAGGGAAGTAAGCCCGGCCCAGGCGGGAAGCCGGCGGTAGAGATCGTTGATGCCTCCGGAAAGTGGTTTCGCCTACATCGCCTATCCACAGACTTGATGAAGCAAAGTCGATCGCTCTCTCCTAATCAGCGGGTCATCTGCGACTAGTTCCGTTTGCGATTACCGGCCGTGCTGGTTGCTGGCGCCTCTTCTGTGATGGCTCTGCTGACAATAAAGTACTGGAACCCGACGACCCTGAACGAGCAGAAGAAGACTCAAAAGGGCGACTAATAGACCCCGAGGAAACCAGCGCGCGCGTCTTTCCCCTTGTCTTTTGTCTCGAGTTGTGGTATTTCTTCTGTGGCGAACTCGAACTCGGAGCCGGCATTGGAGACGCGCGGCTTGCCCGCCCCTCTGCGACACCTTCGGTGGTGAGACGTGCCTCGAGCCGACGGGAGTTCCAAGTCTTGCCGTTGAGCAGCTCAGCAACGCTTTGAGCAACGTGTGCGGTTCGAAATGTTGCAAAGGCATGCCCTCTGTTCTGACTGCCCGATCCTCAGGGGACGTCGATCCTCTGGAGTTCGGCCTTGACTGGGGTCACTTGTGCCATGATTTGCTTGATGAGCACTTTGATTTGGTCCTCTGGAGTGCTGAGCCCTATTCGTCTGACAATTATTCGTCTATGTTCGACAAAGACAGCCTGGCTGGGTTGGTTGGTTGGAGCCGCGGCGCTTGGAAGGAACCGACTGTTGGACACGTACGCAGGGTAGTCAGAGCACCAAGCTCCCTGCATCTGAATGCCATCAAACCCCTGGCTGAAGTGTCCGAGGTTCGTTGGAACCTGCCGTGAGTCAGGAATCGTGTTCTGGCACCATGTGGTACTAAGGGGCTCCACTTGTTGTATAAGCGATGAGGATTCCGACGATCCATAAGGGTACGGTGCGGGTTGATGGTCGATTTGCGCAGAGAATAGAGCAGGCGTTGGTTGGCGAGATCTCATGGTACCGTTCACTGGAATTGCGTTCTCATCATTATGTACCTCCTTGACGACGATAGCACTCGTCATGTTGCTGTCATCGTAAATGATGCGTCTGCCGTTGAACACTCCATCCTTCAAACGATCTAAGCGCGTGTCAGCAGGTCCTGGTCACGCTTCAACTTTGGCCGCTTACCACATGCACGATAAAAATTGTATGGTCCCTGGACCCTGATCCAGCCCGAGGTGGGGTGATAGAGCTGAATGTAGTCGACTTCAAAGTCGCGGCTGAGCCACTCTTTAAGCGCCTGCCATCTTGTATCGAATGGTAACTAGCCCGACTGTCAGAAGGTAAGAACGCAGAGCTCGTGTTGATGAAAAACACGTTGCAAATCGGGATATAGAAATTTCCTGTCTCGGGACCCGGAGGCAGCTGTCCAACTTGCATCGTGACGTACTGAGACGTGAATCCGCTCGGAACACAGGCTTTGTCCAACAGGGAAGCTCAATGGCTCAGTCAGACCGGAGATTCTTGCGACGGCTGGGAACAAGACAGAACAGGGGATCTCATATGTGACAAGATCCGACGATGAACCAAGACAGTCTTGGCCAACCGTGAGATTTCCAAGGCAGGCAGATGGGTTTGTGGAAAAGAGCGTTGGAGTTTCTAAAGTTGGCCGGACGTCCAAAATAAGTCCTTTAGTCATGCCGCAATGCTGTCAATGCTGCTGCCTGACCAATGATCAACCCTTGCTATCTTTCGCGTCAACGATGTGGAGCGTGCAAGATCACTCCAGATAAACGTCGGCACAGGTACCCACGCCGTCGCAGGGCACCTTTTGTGGTACTCGCAACCCACCCCGGGCGTGTCCGCCAAGCGAGACCCTACCATGACCCTTGCCAGCAGCGCCGGGGAACTCGCTAGCGTGCCGCTGGCTGTGTGAGGATCCCGACGCCCGCGCGTTATGGGTACTTACTTGTGTGCCCAGCAAGCCTGCAGCGCTCCACAACCGACCCCGTCGAGGTGACATCTGACGCACGGTCTGTTGGAACGCCGATGTTCAGCTGACAGCCCGTCCCAACGCATCAGGTCTGGGCCTTGGATCTGGCGCCGTACCTCGTAACCGGCAGGGGACATCGAAGCCCCGCAAGTACTACGCCAACCTTTGAGACCGTGGGATAGGTGTACGTCACGTCGGAACAGATGGATGAGTGGAGATGCATTATGATTGAGTGAGTTCTATCTCCTGCCTTCCGCTCTAATCCAGATGCGCCCCCACTTATCGGTTGTCACAGGAGCATTGGCCGCCTCCTCGATCTGCTGTTCACCGCAGTCTTCGTAGCGAGCGCCATGCATGTTGAACGAGCCGGGGCAGCCAACGCCGTGCTTGCATCTGTTGAGGCAGGGATAGCGGTCCATTGCGGTACTTCTTGGACGATGGTTGTGGGTGTGTCAACTTGTGGAAGATCTTGTGAAGCTGGGAGCATTTGAAATGGGAAAGGCGAGCCATTTGTATTCATGCAGTTCAGGACCACAAGAGATAATCGTGCGTTGAAAAGACCAACTTATGCATGGACTCCGAATTTTTACGTGGAAGAAAGTCTTCTCTACGTCTAAAATCCATACTCGCCCAAATAAGATCGATATTGTCGTTAAGTCCGCGAGGCCACTGATAGACACTGATTTCATTCCTCAGCGAATCGGAATACATCTCTTTCCCCCCGAACCTGCCGTTTGACGCTCGGTGTGTCATTCTCGAGCTCGATTGCATCTTTGCGTAGATGGTCGTCGATGTATGAACTGGAGGACCTCCGTGTTAGCAGACACACCTTTTGATGAGATGGATTTACGGACTGATGTACTTCCAAAGAAAATGTCGCAGCGTGATTGCAGTCAGGAAGACCAATCCAAGGGCAAAGGAAAGAATCATCTGATGCCCTGCGAACCTCCTTGTACAACGGGTCGTCCCGTACCCACAAACCGTTGCGTTGTTCTAAGTCGGGGTTCATCTCTGGAAATCCTGGTTGTACGTAGAAGGATGAATTATTAACGAAAGGTCTGTCCCTCGCAGCATTTGATGATGGTTGCAAAGTGAGCTGTGGGACAGTGGCGGAGCGTATTTCAAAGAAACGTAGAACATCGTCGTCAAGCTCATCAGGCGTTGACTTTCTTGGTCGTGCACCGAAGGGTGATTCCGAAAAGTTGCATCGACATGCCGACAAGGATGACAGGTCCATCCATCGACGGACATGACTGTCTCACAATTAGTCGAGGGTCAGACAAGGGCAGAGTTACCAAGTATACAGCTGAAATCTCAATTTCTCTTCCCCTAATAATGGGAAAGGCTTGACAATCGTATTGGTAGTCCCGGGGGCAGTCTTTCGAGCGAGGTCGCTCACATGTCCCCGTTCGAAGAATGCCCAGAAAGACTGAACTTCAACTCTATGTGGTAGAATCAGAGGATTCTCCGCACTCAGCGAATGAACGCAAAAGTCAGATTCCGGACGGTAAACAAGGTAGTCTACTATCATGCTGAGTACGGAAGGCCATGGAGTGTGAGGTTGACGTTTCTTTGTGATTGTCTGCAAAGACTGCAGTTGCGACACGTAGCGAAAGCAAGCGGTGCAAAGTGCAGTTTGGAAGAACTATATATGCATCAGAACAGCTCCAGATCTGACCAATCTGGGCACGACGTCCCCAGTCGGTGTTACATCAGCAACTGAGGATGCATCTCAGGCCTCGCTCATGCCCGTCAACCCCGGTCAGTGCAATGCGCCCACCACTAATGAATCGGCGCCGAGACAAATTGCTCTGCTTTTTAGCTGCGC